AACTTACATTCAACAGCACTGCACTTATCGTCGCGCTCGAATGAAATTCCAAGCGGTGCAGAACTAGCTAAATGGCGGTGATCAGACATTGAACTTTATATAACAATATCGTCTTTATTCATTTGGTTTATGCGTAAAATCCGTGAGGTCTTGTGGTAGATGGAAATTTTCAATTTGAGTGGTATCTGTAACTACTGCAAATTTGGAGTCTTTGCCAATTTAAAGCTATCATTCATTGCTGTCAAGAAACCGTGTCATAATTACGCTTGTAAATCAGTCAAGTTCCAATCGCCCCGCGAAGTTGTAGAGGATTCGGTATGAAAGAGCAGTATTAAAATCCTGCAGGCTTATTGGTTCGCAAGATGAAATCTGAAATCAATTTTCCCTAATTCCTTGATTTTAAAGTTTATTATCACTTTTAACTTAGACGGCAAATGAAACTAAGTCATGATTATTTCCTAACGAAGCCTTACATTAAAATCCAATGACCTTGTACGGTGTACAACCCTTCGTCTTCTTGTTATGTTATCAAAACTTATCTTTAAAAAAGAATCTGACAAATTTTGGGCTATGTAACGTTATTAAAAAAGTATCAGTAATCTGCTACACGTGAGGTGAAAGCTATAAAAGACACGAGATAATTCAACAAAATTGCAATTCTAAAAAATTCCTTTGACATGCAAACGAATGCATTGTAACGTATTTTAAGTACACCAAAGATAACCATCTGTGTGAGGTATCCATATCTACGAAATTTTTTCCTTTCCTTATTAGCTCAAACCTAGGTCAAATGTCGAACTTCTTGAATTTATTGAAACCTTTTAAGAAAGCCTCGAGAGACGGCAAAAACTACAGTCTCCATACTTCATCTGACAGTTTGGAAAATCTGCGGTGTTTAGGCCACCGTTCACACTGACAATCTCGGTGAATTTGTGCACCTTCTCGGCACGTTAGCGTTTTATGTTCGTCATTGGTGGTCTACAAAGAAAGAGAACGAGTGATAAGCAAGTAAGATGCCGGGCATATGCTCGATAAGTTTTCATTTCGTGTTTTTTTATTTAATTTTGATTCTGCCTTTGTCTCAAAGTTCTGTCGCGAGTATGTTTCAGAAGCTCAAGTCAGCCGCTGAATAAGGCTATAACACTCTCTCAACGGTTCCAAACAGCATTCTTAAATTTTAAGCTTTTCATTCATTGTTTTCAGTCCCAATAAAACTGTGCACCAGTTGCTTCTGATTTAGACTTTACATGTATTAACAAATTTAGACGGTTATGGTTTAACGGCGTCGAGTAACGGACGCGCAAAGATATCGTGCTTCACCTTTTTAGTCTTTATTTCAAAGAAAGAATGTGTGTTGCAATGCAATCGAGAGGATTTTCTACATCGTGTACTGATATTTTAGAAACAACGTCTTTCTAAAGAAGAAACTATAAATTAGTCAACTAAATTTTGCTCTCTTCCGTAGATCTGTTGATATAAGCTGGAGACTTCAATAATCCCTTACACGGTTTTTTTGGTGTAACAATCAGCTTTTGTTAATCACCGTCAGCCGTCGCTTTTAGGAAGAAATGGATCGAGATAGATGGCGTTCGGAAAAATCGCAGTTACTGGGTGATTTTAGGATGTTGTGCATAACATTACCTCAGTGTTCATTACCACAGCTGAATTTCTGGGCTGAAATTTCTCGAGGAAGAATGAAGTGAGAATATTCTTATTAGTTAAATGACTACCTTGTCAGAATCCTTAAAATATCAGTCCTATTTTGATGGAGGCATAATTTGGTATATCATTTTCGCCATTTTTGGAAATGAAAAAATATTGCATTCCGTTGCTAGCGATAAACCAAAACGAAATCTCTTTTGAGTACGGTTCTACTTCCATTCAGAAGTTACAGAGAGTTAAAAACCCGAGAAATAGCGCGAAATATTGGACTCTTTATCACAGTGAAAACCATCCTCGGAGACCCAGGGACTGTGAGTCGATTTCAAGTTAAGGGCAGAAGAGCCCCTGGGGACATTGTCTTACAAGACTAGTTCCAAACGGTCGCAGTCGTTCTGGCATCTGATTGGTGCCAGAAAATCTTTGTGTTTTTCTGCCCAATCAGAGTGAAGTGTCCTTTGGAGTCCTTTCGTGTGTTTTAACACGCACATATACAACAAGCTCTGTTGCTCGCTATGTTTGTTTGGGCCGTGCGACGAAGCTTTGCCCGAGGTGAAAAGTTTCAGTCTCAGCACACAATGTAAGAGAAATCGATCAGATTGTCCGCGAAATCTTACCAGAAATTATACTGAATACTTTCGAACGATGACGAACCTCGCAAACTTTTAAACACGTTCTCTTGTGATACCTGCGAAAGTATTCAGTATAATTTCCGGTAAGATTTCGCGGACAATCTGATCGATTTCTCTTACATTGTGTGCTGAGACTGAAACTTTTCACCTCGGGCAAAGCTTCGTCGTATGGCCCAAACAAGCATAGCTAGCAACAGAGCTTGTTGTATATGTGCGTGTTAAAACACACGAAAGGACTCCAAACGACACTTCACTCTGATTGGGCAGAAAAACACAAAGATTTTCTGGCACCAATCAGATGCCAGAACGACTGCGACCGTTTGGAACTAGTCTTGTAAGACAATGTCCCCAGGGGGCTCTTCTGCCCTTAACTTGAAACCGACTCACATCCCCTGGGTCTCCGAGGATGAGTGAAAACCCGCATAAGGCAGTTTTTGGGGAAAAAAAAACTGACACGCGCATTTGTCACTCTTTTACAATTCGGGAAATTTTACATTAGCAAGTAATTGGTTCGTGTTATAGTTGTATCCTATAAAAGAGATGAAGAACGCCGGCAAATTCGATCTTTCTTTGTGTCTTTTTCATAGTTGTTAGCAAAAGAAACCTCCGTGTTATAAACAAGCGGAATAAATCTCGATACTTTCGGATAAAAAAAGAAAATATTTTCACGGCTCAATTCGACATCATAGACTTAGACATGTTTGTTCAGCTTTTCACAATTAACAAAATGGTAAACACCACAGCGTACACTATTGAGTTATGGATGCACGCGGGAGGTTGCTAAGCACGAAAGAAGCGTAAGAGGAACGCTAAATTGACGAATCAGAGCGCGCGCTTTACTTTGGTTATGTTATAATTTTTCGTAAGAGACTGAGAGGTGAATAAGTTAAAAGGTCGAGACAGCAGAAAGCAAATCGTTATCTTCAAGAAGAGTACGACATTTTTTAATTTCGAAGACATGACTATACAAAATTAGTCTTTTGGCGTCGCATGAAGGGAGAAATTTAATTTGAATCATCGCTAAGACAAAAAAAAAACTCACATACGAACATCATCGTCAAATATTCTGTAACTGACGATGATGTTCGTAACATCGAAACATGTCTTCCAAATTAAAAAATGTCGTACTCTTCTTGAATAAGTTAACTGGAGAAGGGGATACCTACTTGTTAGCATGGAAAAGCTCTCAGAGGAAGAGGACTTATGAGTTACTAGACGAGAAAGTTGCATTTTATCCCCAATTTAATAGCTTCGTATCTTTTCCTTTGAAACGCAAATGACATTTTTGACATATTGGTTATGTCATTCATTTAAGAATGATTTATAGCTAATTAACGAATACTTTTATCTAGACAAGAATACTTATACAAAATTAGTCTTTTGGCGTCGCATGAAGGCAGAAATTTAATTTGAATCATCGCTAAGACTAAAAAAAAAAACTCACATAACATCCTTTTGGCTTTTACATGGAAGTTGCATATCAATTCACACTCATCACTATAAATGCTCTTCCAGCCGTCAAATGTAACTCAACATAACGGGTTATAAATTACGTATCAGATGGAAATTGATGATACTCGCCAGCTGTCCAGACCCAGAATGAAACTTAAACCTTAAAACAAAAATATTTCTTTCTTAATCTCTGATACGACGAAGGAAGCTAACCAATTACGCTAAAGTATAGTAACCATCACGCAACTTTCTCATCAAGAACTTCTTAGCTTCAATACCGAAAAATACTTAGTGTTAAAAAGGGTTGCCATTAAAAGCGTTTTAAGAATTGCTTTGTTGGGGTTACACACTTATTAATGGCTCTCAAAATAGGATTTTGTGAGATAAAATTTCTAAAATAGAATCAACGCAAACTTCAGTTAAACTTGCCTTGACAAATTAAGCTTTGCTTTCTCTTTGCCCATGCAGTGGATTTTAGCTGGAACTTAAAGCTTAGAGAGCTGAGTAAAATGATTGACCCAATTTCTCTTGCCTGACCTTCAATTGAAATCAATAATTTTCTATGCAACTTACTGGGGCTGACTTCTCGGGCCATTGCGCAGAGCTGTTTCATGAACTTTCCTAATTCAATTTATTTTCGCATTGCCTTAAGGGGCCATCATGAAACAAAACTGGCAAGTTTTATTTCCATTGTTATAAAACGTTCTTAAAATTGACTCAGCCAATGGATAATGGAAGTTATGCCAAGAGAGGTCGAGTTCTACATACGCAGTTTGGAGGATCTGAAGTAGCGTGTGTCATATGGAAGTCAAGTAACAAATTATACAAATTATCTTAAGACAGCATATGCGAAAAGAAAAATCTATATCTGACGATAATTATCAGGAATAATCCTAGAGTCTCCTTCAAGAGGATCTCTAATCTTACATCGATCTTTTAAATTCATTCGCTTCTTTGCTACCGGGGTGTTCACTAGAATCGAGTGCTCTTACCCGAGCGAAACCACAAATAATTGCTTCCCTATTGTAATCAAGATCTTTGATCCTTAAGTAGAGCCGCTAATTGCTATAGTTATTAAGATATATGGTGTTTCTATCAAACTCAAGTGAGGCAATCTAAGGAGCGAAGTAAAAGCAACCGGTTATACTTCGCTAAACCATCCCATGCTGCTATAATTAGAACACCTTTATTTCGTCAATTGGTCTGGAGTCCGCGAATATACCCGCTGCAACTCAATACTGATGACATGGAGTCCAATCTTATGTTTGCGCGCGACAAACATTCCTTCCGAGCACTCTGATGTCCTCGATTTGTCTGGGATGAATGCTATCAGCCAATAGGAATCCCCGTATTGTTTCGAACCGATGATGAGCTGTAAGTGTTTTGAGAGAAAGCCCAAGTATTTAATTTGCCCCAGCATTTAGCGTTCATGAGCGTCTCAATATCGTTTGGCCTGCTAAATTAAGTTTGTACTGCTTGATTGGAGGTGAAGAATCTGCTTAGAACACGGAGGTACATGTTACTTAATGAGGTACAAGTTATTTTAAGCAAATTAATGTTGAGCAGTGTTGTTAGCCCTAATTCTTAAATGTTGTCCATTTAGTATGACTGCCTTTTTATAATGTATGGGCCTTCAGAGACTAATAGCCAAGAACCGCGATCAATGACTCTGAATTTCCAAAAATTCTCACCGTGGTTTTGACTTAACTGATACGAAATGGCCGTAGCTGACAGTAAAGTATTACAGTGAACTGCAAGAACTGACTTGAGAAGGTATTTGTCATTTGCTAACGATAAAGGTCAAACCGATAAGAAATTTACTACTCAGAGCCCTCTCGAGACTCAAGTAGCCACAGAGATCTTTAACTGTAAGAGGCTTACTTCCATCTCGCTTTACAGCACCGACTTAACGTTCCTAATCCCGATTTAAAGCCTGACTGCATCATTCCGCTAATTATTGATTAACATCGTTGTGTTAAACTTCATTTCCGCCATTTCCATTTTCAGAATTCTCACCTAACCCGTTGATAGCGTTTTGAAAAAGTGTGTATCATGCGCAAACGAAAAACGAGCCACCAACCCAATTTCAAAGCTGCACGAGCGGTCGTTCTTGGACAAGACGGAGTAGGAAAATCAGGTGAGCTGGTTATCTGCAATAACTTCTTTGAACAATGATATATCGTGCAATACTGGGTTTTATCACTTGGCAGGAATGTTACTTCCACTATCTTATCAGTAAGGGTGATTTTTCTCGAGGTTCATTTCAATTTAGCATCATAAAAAGCGATACACACTTGAAAGTTCAAGTGTTATTATTGTCTGACATTGAGTTTTCGGTATAGCTCACTCACCATTAATAAACTGTATCCTGCTAGAATATTAGATTTCGCCCTGCGTTTTGTTATGCTTTCGACAAGGTACTTTTGAGATTAAAGTTTGAACGCTAATTGAGTTTTTTCTCAATCGCATTAGTTCTATTCTAAGGTTACTCCAAAATAAATATTTGAACTGCTTTAAGTGTCTGTGGTAGGATTTTGACATCGCTCACCGTAATTAAAATTGATCGCTTATTTCATTTGCCCAGTCGCAGATGCATGCTTTTGTGAGCTCAAACGATGATGGGTTTTTTTTCATTTTATTTTATTTTTTATAAGATTAATTAAAAACGACCAGTGACTCACTGAAGCTTTATGTATAAGCACTAATAAATGTTATTATCACTATTTCGGGCAAAGTGACACGTTCTGCGAGAGAAAATATAGCTTTTGGTGATCTAAAGTGTATTTTCGGAAGCTCACACTCTCGTGTGATTGTGCAGTCTATTTTGTTGTAATTTTTTCAACTTTTATTTTCTTAGTGCCCTCCAAAGTGGTAACAGTGGCATTACAGTTTACGTTCCTGGGTAAAAATTTGTTTTTGGCCCTTCGAAGAGTCATTTCAACCCTCGCGATCACCTACTGGCTTGGGATATGATGGCCCACTGAGTAAGGCCCAAAACATATTTATGCCCAAGAACGTAAACTTCATTGTCTTATTTTTCTAAAACTAAAAGTTATTCTCTCCCGTTCAATTTGAACCAAACAATCTGATTAATTAGCTGGTATGTTCTCATTCGCCTAAATGTTATGACCTCAACTCCAGTGAAATATGCTCAATTTAAACACAGCCAACATGAATCAGTATGGAGGAATTATTTAAAAGGGGAGACAAGAGAATGATAATTTGATCTTTCTTCGATCACCCGACTCTCCAACAAGTTCTCTGAAACTCAGTGGTGTAAATCATCGAACCGCAAAATCCGAAGATCTGGCTTTCGAAACCTCGATGAGAGAAATTCACACGTTTCTTTTCATCCCATGTTCGTGATGAAAAAATCCCTTCAGCAGTATTTTTTTACAAGCCATATAATCTTATCGACAAATAAAAGTTACTCTTAAGCAGTAACTTCGTGTTAATTAACAATTTTCGTATTTATTGACTATCTATTTGTTACGTAATAAGTGAATTGATGGGTCAAAACAAATTAAATTCCTACGACTTTGTGACCGGAAGTTTGTAAAGATCAAAAGATAGCATTTGCAATTGTTTTTTAAGGCAGAATTTCGGCCTAGTTTATCAACCTCACTATGCTTCGTTGGGTCATTGCCCGACTCAAGAAAACAAAACTAAATCATCAAAATCAATTTCTAGTCATAGCATTTTCTCAAATTTTGCCAGAGCATTTTGAGGCTAATTATTGTTGGGGTCAAATTTACGAAATAGACCACTTTCATAAATGGCTGCCGGATTAATATTCTTTTGTTTAAATTTAAATTAGCCCTTCTGGCCTCGCTTGAGATAACGTTTTTTTTTTAATTTTGTACTGGAGAACGAGGCCAGAATGGCTAATTAAAATTTAAACAAAAGAATATTAATCTGGCAGCCAATTATGAAAGTGGTCTATGAATGTAACCAAATTGAATGACGAGGGTTGCAAATAAATTTCCCTCGTTTTTACAAGCCGAAGATGCTGAGATGAGTAAAACAACTTTGTTATATTCAGTTCATTGAACCCGCGAGAGTTGATCAAAAAAATTTTAAGAAATTACTTCTGTAGACGAAACACTATACTTCACCTAAATGTGTATTCTTAATGATGATAACATATCAAAGGCCGGCTGGGAAATTAGCAAAGGTGCCTCACTCCCCATTAACTGTCCTCAAAGGGATCCGTTAATGATCATGCAGCAAGAGCTATGCTTTCGAGTCAGAGAGAAAAATGTACGACTCGTGAAAATTTGAACAAAAGCTACTCTTGAACTTTGCAGAGTTATACTATACTACTCGGTTTGTTGGCCCCGTATTTTGTCAAGTTAACGCGTATTAGATCTTTGAAATTCGTGTTGAGGTGTACTGTCATAATGCGTAACCAGTCTTCAAAGTCTAAAAGGTCCATTCGTCTTCAGCTGTAATGCATTGGAGGCTACTTCATATCGCAATTCAAATTGATTTTTCAGTTTTTATCTTAGTTGCTTTTTACGAGATTTTCTGATTTTTTTTTTTTTTTTTTACCATTGATTGCTTTCCAGCTCTTATCGTCCGTTTTCTTACGAAAAGGTTTATCACCGAATATGACCAAACGTTGGGTAGGTAAAATTACTTCATTTTTATACGTTGACTTTTCGAGGCATTTTAATGAAACTTATTAAACGAAATTCAAATTTTTTTTAACATAATTATTTTGGTTAAGCAAGGATACCGGTATCCCATTAGTCATTTGCACATTCTGTTTACTTCTCAATACTCACGCAAGTATTTCTGTGATTGGTCCAGAAAACGCGCGCCGCTTTCTTGACCAATCAGATGGAAAATTAAAATCAATTGCGGCTTGGTCGCCCGCGTTTTCGCGCGCTATACACCGAATGCAAATATGGCGTCCAATTTGAGTTGCCATTGTTCTGGACTGACTAGCCTCTCACACATGTAATCATCCTTTTGTATTTCCACGTGAAGACGAGGCTAGTGAGTTCAGACAATGGCAACTCAAATTGAACGCCATATTTGCATTCGGTGTATAGCAGTTTGGTCGGTTCTACTGGGCGTCCTCATCGGCGCTTTGACGGGTTTTTCCCCTTTCTGCTGATTGGTCGTTTTGATAACTTTGGTTTTGTGACATTAAATCCAAAAAGGGCTCTAATATGATGTATAATTGATTAAGTTAAACTTAATAAATTATACATCATATTATGGTGTTTTAACTGTACTTATGGTGTTTTAACTTTAGAATCAACATGGAGACACCACATGGAAGTGGATAACGATTTCATATACGTTGATTTAATGGATACCGCTGGAGAGGTGACAAACTATTGTGAATCATTTTATCACTAACAACTTTGGAATTATTCAATCTTGAATCGAAATTATTGCATTGCTAGTAAGAAGTACGGAGTTTTACCCAATTTAAGTCTTAGCCACGTTTCATGTACTGACAAATTTGGGCTGCCATTTCAAGTTGGCCCTATATCACACAAAATGAACAATTTTGATATCATTTGGATAATTTGATATCATTGCAACACTAAATCACGCATCGAAAAAAGATATAATAAAAATTTGCTTCAGTAGAGCAGTGAAAACTGAAAAAACAGAAGTTATTCGGCAAACAAATATGTAGGCGGTTTTCTTAGATCAGGCTGTTTAATCTTACTACGGCCGTTGTAGAAATCATTTTCTCAATTAAAATTGAGAAATCAATTGATAATGATTCTAAGTGCATTATCGATTTGTTTCATTCGAATAGCGTGAGCAACAAAGGTCTCTGAACTCCAGTCTGAGAAATCATTTCCAAAGTTTTAAAAAAATTGCTTAATTCAAATGCGCTCTTAAAGATAAAATAGAAATACAATATTTGATGTGCAAATCAAAGTGAATTGGAGCAAAGAGGAAGTCTAAGGTTAGGTGTAAGATCTTTTAACTCTTTGTCAAGCAAAAGTGATTTCGCTCGAATTGCAATACCTTATCAGCCTTTTTTTTTTTTCGCTACTAAAATTTGCAGAATTCAGAAGTAAAGCTAGACAATTGTCTTGCTCGTGGTGACATATTCCTCGTACTGTACTCCATCACCGATCGTTCGAGTTTCCACGAAGCTGCTCGTATTGGAAGACACATCCGGAGACGAAAAACCAACGGAAATTCGGCGATGGTAATTCTTACTGGTACCAAAAGAGATTTAGAACACCTTCGAGAAGTGGATGAAACAGAAGGCAGCGATTTGTCTCAAGAACTAAAATGTCCGTTTTATGAAATTTCCGTTGCTTCAAGCGACGGATACAAAGAGGTGTCAGAGATGCTCTATGGATCAGTCAGACAGTACTTACGGCATGGAAAAATCTCTTCTAACGATAAACGGAACCAGCCTTCCTCGTTGTCGAAGATGAAGGAAGGACTGATAAAGAAAACGGGATCTTTTCGGAGGAAATCTGTGACGTTTTGAGTCGTGAAGATGGTGTAGCCTAAACTGACGAGCGGACTGATAACTGCAACAGTTTTGAAGACCACAACTGTTTTAGTTTTGCTCGGTCTTGATAGAAGATCTGCCTGAGCGCGGAATCTTAACGCCGGAAAATCATTTCCTACGTCTAGTCTCCGTTTAGTTCAAGTTTACCTCGAAGTGAAACGATCTTCCTTACGTTAATTAAGCCTCAAATTCTGAGGCACCGGGAACAGTCATCTGGGTACAGCTTCTACCATACAGATATTGTTTAAACTTACGTATATACTCAGGTTTACACAGAACGAATCACGCTACGATTACGCTAAGCGCACTCGTAATACTAATCGACGGATACTTCAACGGATAGGATTAGGATACGCACGCGATAAAATGAAGAGCTAAACAGACTAATGAGTAGAAACAAGTGTTGTATAAAATTGACTATTCAAAACTTTAAAACGTGCAACTACTAACAAACGCGAAGGCGACGTTCCACAGAACCCATTGACGTGACGTGACCCACACTTTTCCACGTTTAGTGATCATTCATAGAAAAGAACACGTAGATTGCATCCAAAACGGTAAAAAACTCAAAGGGGTAGTAAAAGTATAATAAATCTTTCTTTTTGTCTTGGGGATTGAAAGTTATATTTTTTGTAAAGGTTTGAAATTGATTAAAAAGGAAAACTGAAATGTATCAGGACTCTGCCCCTAGTTTGTTTCTCGCCAACACAGGCCCTTGATTGTATGTCACAGTCATACAAATCACGCTGCACCCAAATTGATCCAGGCGAAGAATCGCTTGGGATGAAGCCACGCACAAGAAATCTCGTGGCTGAAAGATACCAAACACTAGTCATTTAATATGAGAAATAATATTGTTATCATAGCAATATATAAGAGAATGGAACAGGGAAATCTTGCTTCAGATATTTAAAATAGACTAGAAGTTTTTTTCCCCATATAAAATTTTACAGTGAGAGTACAACTGAGCCCTATTTAAACCTTGATCAAACAACTTTTGCTTTCGAACATCTTCTAGGGAATCTTGAATCAATCATCCTGTGTCGCCACTTTTATTCACGTGAACATTACATGCGGCTTTTTTCGTTGTTGTTGTTGTTGTTGTTCCTCACTAAAGGATTCACAATACACGGAATTCATATCAGGTTTTCCACGGAAGGGCAGTCAATAACCAACATCAGAGGGATCCCTTTAGCAGTAAGGTGTATATGAAGATTCCGCGACTTAGACATTGGTCAAACGGCGCATGATAGTCGATGATAGTTGATTCTCTTCAAACTATCATCAACTATCACCAACTATCATTAACTATCATTCGCATGATCAAACGGTCAATAAAGTCCATGATAGTTGATGATAGTTCACCGGCAGTCACGCGAGCAAAGTCACGCGAGCAGCTAGTTCCAGGCTCTTTCCGCGCGCTCATTATTAATTTGCTAGTGCGCCCTCACCTCCATCTCCTGCTTAGATGTCCTGTGACATCTCTGTTGTGGTAATCATTCGCAAATATGTCCGAAAGGCAGAGCCGGGCCTCAAATTCGTCTATTAGACGTAATATCAGGTCATTATTCCATCTCGCCGTTGAACGTTTCCTGAAACGCTGTTTTTTCCGGCGGTGTCTCTTCGAATTACTGCGAGTTGACGCTTTCTCCAGATTCTTGGTTTTCAATATTTTCTTTCTCATTATTATTATCGTGGGTATAAAAACAAATTTCTGAAGCTGAAGCTGAGCCTCGCGAGGAGCTTTGGCGGCCATTTTAAACGAGCCCGCCGATTTTCGAGGAAAACAACTGACCAACAACTATCATGAACTATCATACGCGTGGTCAAACGAGAAAAACTATCATCGACTATCATGAAGAATTTGAAAAAGCTCAAAATGAATGATAGTTGGTGATAGTCGATGATAGTGCATGATAGTTGGTGGTCAAGCGGAAGCGCACGCTTCAACTATCATCGACTATCATCAACTATCATCGACTATCATGAGCCGTTTGACCAGGGCTTTAGTTTCGGTTTTTTTGAAAACGTGAGTAGTCAGAACTGCAACGCCGAGGAAAACTTCCATTAAAAAAAGCTTTTCTTCTAAAAAAAGACCACGCGAATATATACCGTCTCCAACGGCGCCAAACTTCTGATTTATTATAACATAACACCATATTAACCATGTAAGTGAACAAACTCCAACTAACTCCTACTTTCAACGCACTACTGCGAAAACTTCAAAACTAGTTTCGTCTACGACCTCGTCAGTTGATAACAAACAAAAATCTAAAAATCTGAAAAATTTTGAAAAAAACGCGCACGTCGTGTAGAAACACACGAAAAGTAGCCACTCGGAACCAGGTCTCTAGAACTGTCACATTGACATACCTGCCTTCGGGATGTTGACATAATTCCATTCGCTTTTGGAATTGATTAACTTTCCCTCTTCAACCTTATTTATCAGTACAGATTCTGTTATCTGCCTCAGCATTGCATCGTCACGAAAAAACCCCGTTACATTCATTACAAAGCCCACTTCATTTCCATCATGCCTGTCACAACAATGTCTCCACAGAACAGAGCTCTCCTCTCGCCGTTCTAAAGCATGGAAGTGTTCTCTACCGCGAGTATACGCACTTCTGGACGTCTCTCCCACATATTTCGATTTACAAGCACGGCAAACCAACTCATATGTACTTCGGCATGATCTCTTTCCGTCAGTCCGGCAGAAAGGACAATCAGCATTGGTGCATCGACTCTGTTTGAAAGGGTCTGATTTTTGGAGCATGGCTTTAAGGGTTGTTCCAGATTGCTCAACAACCTTGATCTTAAACTCTGTGGCTTTGATCTCTCTCATGTACCGGCGTTTAATCTGGGAACCAGGCGTTGCTGGGACGAAAATCACTGTGTCATGGCTTGGCTTAATTTCTTTTATAAAAAAGCATCTCGTAAATTAGGCAGTCCAGTTTACTTTTGCATTTCTTCAGGATTTTGAAACTGTGATGCAAGTCACTTGGGGTATGCCCATGCCGCTCTTTAATGTGGTTCCCGATTAATTGAAGACTGAGACGCTTTGTGTCATCCCGGCACCTCTACCAACATGCTGAAGAACGTTTGCAATAAGTTCTGTGCGTTTGGTCAGCTCCTTCACATTTGGCCAGCTCCTTCTTCAGCTCTAAAGGCCCGGCCAAACGCACGCAACAATTCAAAGCGAAAAAATATCTCCGCACGTGCTTTGTACTTTTCTTTCAAATTATTTAGGTTTCCAGAAGTTGGGGTGTGGCGCACCCTAAAAGGGAATCCTTGTTTACAATATTTGCCTCATTAGCATAAGCAATTCAAGTTTCTGGTGGAGCTAAAAATAAATCAGTTCTGAATATCGAAAGGTCAAAGTACGATAATCCGGCCAATGAATAAGAGCCTGATGCATTGAATAGTTTTTGTGCAACACGGGTTTAAAAACTCAAAATTTTACATAGAATGTATGAGCTCATTAGCGCTTTTGCCACCCAGAAATTTTGCAGTTTTTGTTGGACTATTTCTCCTTGAATATTACACCCAAAGAGCTAAAATTTCACCATGTACTAAGGTTTTCTAGCTCTTTAGCTGCCTGAAGTCAATTTGTATCTAACATGCTTCCTCCTTTACGCAAAGCCATATGCAAATGAGAAAATGTAAACAATGACATCAGCATGAATCCGCCTCTTCAGTCCTAAAGACATTCAGTCATTTACTGAAATTCTTACCAAAAGAATGTAATCTTATTTAAGTCTTTTTCTGCGTTGCCGCCCTGTCTTTTAAGGTCCCTTTTCTTGTTGTGCAGAAAACGGCTAGAAATTGTGCAAAGTTTGAAAACGCACGTGCTGAGTTATTGGTCTACTCATTACAATTGTTGTTCGCCACTTTCTTGTTAACTGTCCAGTCGTTCTTTACTCTAAATCACTTAATCTCTTTTGTGTTCAAATAATTATATTGCACACTTTCAAGGTTTTTCAATTAAATCTTTTAAAAAAACCTTGTTACAGATTTAATTACGTTCTTCTTGTGTGAGCGAGATGCATGGGAGAAAATCAGAGAAAAACACAAATATCGTTTCATTACTTTATATACTTCTACTTGTCATTTTTACCCTTGACTTGATATTGACATAAAGCAACGACGAAACGTCGTCGAAAATATTCTACGAACAGTTTTTAGAAGTTTTTATATGTTTGAAAAAAGTTGTATCGTTGAACTTTGCAATCAAATGTTTTCCCAGATCTTTACTTTTATATACGTACGGTTAAATCAAAAAACAGCACCATTTCCAACGCCACTTGGAAAAGTGAAGTACAAGGTTAATCAAGTGCGACTCGATTCACAACAAACTTTTTATCTGAGGAGATATACTCTTGAGGACTAAATTTTATTATTATTATTATTATTATTATTATTTTATATATTTTCACTTATCATTAACAGTCTTGACTTGAAAATGATGTGAAGCAACATCAAAACATCGTCAAAATTGTTTACGAACAGTTTTCAGAAGAGTTAGGGTATTGAATTAGATAACGTTCTGGTGTTGAACTTTGCAACTGAATATTTACATTATTTGAAAATGTCAATCCCTATAGAAAGGTTTTCACAGCCAGGAATAAAAAAAAAAAAACACCGCACTATACATATAAAGACATAACTCAATGGAAGAGCACACCAAACAATTGATTCTCTCTTGCTCAGTGGCAAGCTGAAGAAAATTAGGTCCACTTTTGTCAGAAGATGTGCTCTTTTTTCTTGAGGAACAAGTGAAGTATACCTGATATTAAAAACATTTTAAATCAAGGAGGCGCATTTACCGTTAGAGGGATTAGTAAGAACAATATTTCATTTAATGCGTGGAAAAGGGATCTTTTGAATTTCTAACCACTACCAAACAAATCAACGATTTTTGCAGATAAAATGGATTTCTATGGCAACATAACATTACAGCCTCTAGAAAACTCCCCTCAGGGATTAGTCGTTATTTACCGCCTGAAGGGGATTAAATATTTTTTTTCTGGACGGGGAGGATCACATGGTTTTCTAGGAGAAATGGAGGGGGGGTGGTCAGTCGCTGCCAACAGAGTATAAAGGGAGGACTATAGTAAATCGACTGCCAACTAAATTCCGATAAGGGGAGGTAATAGGAAGAATTGTAGAGGGAACAGGTGAATTGCATCGTGAAACAACCAAAATCCTCTGATGCCCTCCCCCCCCCGCCCCAGGACCGTTCCTGGTCAGTTTATTTATGAGTGTATTTGATTTTTTTTTCTTCTTCTTCTTTTTTTACATTTTATCACTGTACCTGCCATTATCTCAATCTTAGCAAGAATCGGCACATATTTTACAAGTTTCTTGTACAGCACGCAATTGGGCGGAAATTCTGCGATGCTTTTTCTGACTGTGTGGCTGAGATCGTTGCAGTGACTGTCTGCCGCACAGAAAACTTTTTTATCCTAGTTACACGATTGTTCGAGAGGAAACTGGGTCGAGTGAAACGGAGAAAACCTCTGACCAATCTCTTGTAAGTGGTTTTGAACTCTTGATTTAGCCATCCATAGATGACAGGATTGAAGGCTGAGTTGGAGTAAGCAAGACACGTGACAAAGGCGGTGTGAAGATAAGAAACAGCTTCTTGTTTGAAAGTTGTTAGAAGGATGCTGACGAAGAACGGAATCCAACACAGATAAAACAGACCAATGACAGTCGCTACAATTTAAAAAAAAAAACACGCGCGTTAGACAAGAACAGATTTTCATGATCGCAAATTGATGCGACATCTCAAAAGGGAAAGTTACCAGCTCTTCTATCTCCAACCTCATTCACAGGGCCTTTTCTCTTACTTGGGGTGGAAAAGGCTCTGGGAACGAGGTTGTTCAATCTCGTTTGCCCGCCGTAGATTCAGTGGAGAGTTGTTGTACAATGAAACTTAAGTATAATCACTTAAGTAGAACCGATTTCACAAGATGCTCTTAGAGCGCTTTTCGATTGACTGTTCTAAAACCAAAACGTAATCGTAATGGTGGATTAGGTAAATACTTCGAGAGCAAATATCTCAAAGTAAAATCAGTCAAACTTCCTAAAGTGCCAGAGAACGACAGCGAAAATATCGCAATTGGTTTTAGTCTAGCATCTGCTTGGTTAGAAGGATGGCGCGAATTTTCTTCACCGAACACATAACGAAGGAAAGGAAAACTAATGCAGTCTCAATTAAAAATTGAGACTGCATTAGTTTTCCTTTAGCGAATCTCGTCGCTAACTCGTCGACAAACGCAACCTCGAGCGTAAAGATAACTTTCCAGTTCCCGTCTGAAAATCCACCTTAAAAAATCAACAAACTTAAGTCCATTACATTCTTCAATCATCGTGCACCGCGTGACTATCGCACAATCGTGCAATGATTACTTCGATCAAAATTAGGCGTTCTATCAAAACGCACTCCAAAAGAACGCATAGACTTACGAACAAACAAGCAAATTCATTGAATACAGATTTTTGCATCTTACCCACAGTCCTAGCGGCTTTTGATTCACGTGCAAAACGAATCGGTCTATGCGAGTTTATCGGTCCTCCATTCTGTGTTGAAAGTTCTTCTATGTACATCCTCAGTGAAGTAATCCTTCGTGCTTGATTGCGGGCCAGAAGAAATATTTTAAAATACGCCGTGGTTATGAGTGCGGTCGGTATTGCGCACATGAAAACAAAGTAAAGCCTCATGTAAGTTTCCTCCAAGATGTCAGAGAAACAACAAGGGTGCTCAAAGTACTGAGTTTCCACCGATTTGGCCCCGACCCCTGATAACGGCAAAAAAGCGACTGTGAACGCCGTCAGCCATAACGTAACGATTGCAAAGCACATCTTTGTGACCGTCATAAAGCTGTTGTACCTCAGAGTGTAGGATATCGCCAGACATCTATCGAATGCGACGCCGAGAAGATTCAACAGAGACGCACTCAGAACAAATAGAGTCAGGAATATGGTCATGTCACACCACATGAATCGTCTCGCCCAACGAAGAGACATCAGGCCCACGATTTTGGCCGGTAGTAGGAATAACCCTACCATTAGGTCAGCAACTGATAGGGATAGTAGCAGAATGCATTCTGGGCTTCTTAAGCGGGAGTTAAAACGGATGGACAAAAGGACCAATAGATTTCCTGGGATTATCACGAGAGCCAGTAAGGTGAATACCACAATGATAGTGGTAACCTCAGGGTTAAGAATAAAAGATGAATTCTCTATTGTTATGCCAACTGTTATATTTGTGATTGAAATGTTAAATTCCATGGTTATGGGGACTTTTCTGATTTTAGCGTAGAGTCTCACGCATGCGTCGTAGAGTGTCACGAGGGAAATGACGCCTTCCTTTTCACGAGAAATTCATTAATGCAAAATAGAAGCTAAGGACCTCCTGAAACATGAAAAAATCCCTTTTGCTTTAAACCTGAAAAATTCAAAAACAAGATATTAGGAATTAGCAACATACGCTAATTGTTGACGATATTGGCTGAAATCCCGAGACCAAATGAAATGATGAAACTTTTCTTTAAAAAAAACTGAAACTGTGGTAAATTAAGCTAAAAATAAAATGTAAAAGATAGTCTGGCAACTTTAACAGTTCCACTGTTATCTATATATAAAAATGCATTCGTCTTTCGGAAATTATTAGTACAACCATTCCAAAGAGTTCGTAAACAGACTGCCAACGTGTGAATTTACCCCGGGGCGAGAAGTACCGAAAACAGGTTCGTTTTTTCTGTTAATTTTGCCGCAGGCAGGATATCGTGTTTTTTGGGCGCCATCGTTCAATTTTTTTTTTTTCATTTTGGCAGTTCCTTGTAGATAAACGGCAATTGGAAGCTCATGTGTCATGGATATCACTCTGAGCGGACAAATTCATAGATACTGACGTCAGTGACTGAAATAACATTCAGTTTATACTTGAGGGTCGCCTTTTTGTCAAAAGACCTTAAAGATCTAAAAGGGTCAACAAATTTAAATGCTTTATTAACATATGTTATGTAACATACGTCCTGAAAATTAAGCTTAACTTTCTAAAATGTAAAGCAAGTAGATCGATACTGAAATAATTTACTAAACGTGTTAAAATATTATGAATTAAGAAATTATAAAAAACACGGCTACATTTTCGAATAAGAGAAATACTTTTTTTAAAAATAAAAAAATCAGGGTTTTTGTTTTCTCCTTTGCGATTGAGGTAGTAACTTCGAGCCAGAAAAAACAAATGATTTCAAAGAAAGTCTGACACTTTGCTTTTCGCTTAAGAATTGAAAGGTGTCATATGTTGTTTTGAACAAATCTAATTTGACGGCCTGCTCCCAGTTGGCTTGTTAGCTCAATTGGTAGAGCGCTGCACTAGTATCGCAGAGGTCAGTGGTTCGAATCCCGTACAGGCCTGATTTTTTTCAGGTCTGATTTTCGCTATGGCATAAATGGCGCTCTCTACTGCGAGGATCGTGCATCATACAAATATAATTTGATAATGATATGGGCAAAATATTAGAAAGCGACGTTTGCGCTCTACATAAACACTGAACAATTTTCTCCTACTTGAAGGAAGAAAGGAAGGAAGCAGCACTAATATATCACAATAGATCCTTGCTGATCTGAGTGCCTTACTTCAACCGTGTAGTCCATGCACCCCCCACGTATAACCAGAAAGTAGGAAATTTTCGACAGCAAGTTTTAAAACGACAAAAAAATGTATTACTTACCATCGAATCGAAGATTTATGGAAGCATATTCCAGTGTGTTACTCACGTGCCGGTAACTGAAGACCAAATCTATCTCCTTGGATCCTGAAAATTTAGAGATTGTTTTCATAAAAAGAATGTATACTTTTACTATTACTAACGACAAAATATCGTGATCTATGATTGCACCTAACTTTTATTTAGATGAACCCTTGCCACAGCCAGAGGTGAGTAAAGAAATGGTGTTTTTCTTACCGTCGTTTCAACCGTCGTTTCGACTTTCCACAGTGTAGTTTTGTTCTTTACATCTCACGTGAGAAAGCCTTAACGATGTCAGATGCTCGTGCGACGTGTGCCGCCAACAATTATATCGCACGCCCCTCGTGCGACATCGTCTGAGCTTGCATTAATTAAGCAGGCTTCCATTTGTTTTTATCTGTCGGCGCACGTCTTTGAGGTGTTTTACATTTAATGACACTCAGGAAGAGGGGGTGGAGTGTTTTACACTTAAGAGATCAGCTTGATTTCAATTTAAGGGTAAAAATAATTGATCCAAACACTCTGCCAACTGGGTGTTACGAGATGATGAAAAAGATTAAATCGACGATAATTGTCGCTGGCCAGGATTTTTCCCACTTTTATTCATTAAAAAATGTCTTAAAAGTGCTCATTCATCCGGCTTAAAGATTATTTTTCCTTTCATGTAAGACCATTGAGCAGCCATTAATGAAAAATCGTGTCAGACCATAGAGACTGTAAGTTATACATTGACAGCTTCTTGTTCACATTAATACTTTGGCGATTAAATTATCCAAAAACATTCTATTTATATCCATAAGTAGAAAATTTTGGCGTATAAACACATATATGAAAAAAACATCATATCTTCGCTATCTGGTGGAGTTTGTTCGCAAGGTAGCCCGACATAAGCGGTTTTTATTTTGTTCCGGATATTTGAATGGAACAGCAGATCACTTTGGAAAGCAACCATCATTCTAGTTCTTCACAAAAATTATCACGACATTATTAAACAGATAGGTGCTAACAATATGAGAAAATAGCCGTAAGCAATCCGGTTCTACCTCCAAATTCTTATTAAAGTCATTTAATGCGTTAACTTCAAAGAAGAGTTTTTCTGACAGTTCCAGATCTAGGTGTCAAGCCCCGAAGGATTAAAAAAAAAAAGAAGGAAAATGGAACCCTCAACTTTTAAAAGAATAAAAAATGGCTTTGAAATAAACTGAATACACCTCTCGCTCACACAAGAATCACTCATGTCATTAGTCACACATAAAAAAGCAAAGATTAACTTAGCAATAACATAATTCATTATCGGTTTATCCTAACAATATTTCTATATCTCATTTTTCTCAGCTCGTTTCCGATCTTTCGTTTTTTTGCTTCAATTTGGCGAGTTTGACTGATGACCTTTTCAACTCTTAAACGTATTGAAAGGCAATATATAAGCAGTTTTCACTTGAAAGAAATAGTTCCATTTACTGCGAGAACACATTTTTATTTGTCTCCAAGAAATTTCTTGTTGTTTTTTTCATCACCATTTTCGCGTAGGACATACAAACTTGTTTTATTACAATCAATCTTAAACATCGGATATTTTTTCCAAAAAACCGCCACGGGGGTCAAAAAACTAGGCATATGTATCAAGTTAATCTTTCCTGATGTATGTGAGTGGGATATTTGGTTTTTGTAAAGACAAGTAAACAACTTGAAAGAAGAAATTACTTTCTATCTTTTAAGGTCAGGATAAAACAATTGACTGTACACTATAAATAAACAAACGCAGAACTAAATTCGTGAATCTGGATCAACAATTCGAGTGCGCTTTCTTCACTTGCGACACCTGTATATATATTTTTATATGCCTTTTCATCATGAGTTAATTATCAATCGGAAAATTGGGCGCACTGAAAAAAATATTGCAGCAAACAAGCTCTCTTCAGTTCTTAGATGCAGGACTGGACTGCCTTGACTCCCTGCAAGCTTATGTTTATTTAATTTTTATTGGTAAATGCACTTTATTCCGGAAAATGTATGTAAAGTTGAATGTTAAAAGTTGAAAGGTAGAATAGACGGCACCATTAGTTAAATCAGATGGCCAAAGGAAATATTATCTTTCACAAAATTTTCCTTTTCATATAAAGAACAAATACAGGCTGCTGTGTCTTTTTCTAAAAACGTCTTTAGACTGAGGAAGGTTTTCATGGACGATTTTTCTTTTTTTCTTTCTTTTATCGCTAAAAAGGTATCAAATCATCTCTTAAATTAATATTTATTTCTTTTACTCGTCTTCAGACTTGACGAAGATTAAAGTTTAATTCACTTTTCTTTCTCTTACGAAAGGTAATTTGTCGTGCTTTATTGCCTTGAACTTCAACTTCCACGCTTCAACTTCAAAGAGAAGTTTTTTTGCATACTAATTAACGACAACAAGCTCAGACACAACAGCAGCTTGACATAAAACACCGACATGGCGACGCCTGATGTGGGTTAGAATAGGAGGATAATGTGTCGCTCTTCCTTCCACAGCTGTTTTGGGTTCTTTTTGAACTTGTTATGCCTCAAATAATGCTAATTATTATCCAGCTATACTAAGTAGCGTCATGCCCACTATTTATGCACTGGGCTCTTGATAAGGTACAAATAACTCGCGAATCGAGTACAGATCTAACACGAAATTTGAAGGGTTCGTTATACACGTCTATTTGGCAAATAAGTTGAGTGTGTGTTCACTTTGTGTAGTTAGTTATCTTTAGCGATAATGCGAAGCGACCACAAAAGCCACACGAGGAGCCCGTGCTGGTCTGTCTTTACTTTTACTTCAAACTGAACGCCACCAGGAGGTTTGGTCACTAAATTGAGCCTGGTCTCTAAGTTCTCGAAAAAGTGATCCCAAAGGAAAATTTTGCTGTTGGTTATTTTGTTCTTTAAAAATTCCTGTCGGCTACGTGTGCTACGCTTTTCTATCTACTTCACTTTTCCGCCCTATAAGAAATGCGCATATATGTAACAGTTGGATGGTGAAAAACTAATCACACGTTTTGGTGTGTAGTATCGCCGATTATTTTTAACTCGCTGAGTATTCATAGAAATACCCATGGATAATAGATATCAAAACTTCGTATGAGATATATTTATATAAAAGGACATAATAGTTGCTAGATGTGTGTTGCATGAAATGTAATATATAATGAAAAAGATCATGTTTAAGGCAATTTTATTCAAATAAATAAAAGATCATGACTAAATTTAAAGAAAATGTGTTAGTCTTGAATTTCCTTGTTCCCCTCTGACGTCACGTCTTTCTCGTCTCCAGGCCCCGTGGCACTGTTCGTGTTTTCTTCCTCAGCGGGCTGGGCTTGCCCACTCCTTTGGCAGGGGCATGGTTCGGGACAGGGATCTAGACAGCTGCCTTGATAAAGAGCCTGGAGATGAATGTACTAAGTTTAGAGAAATTTTAAAATTTTCGTCCAAAGCTATACAAGATTGCTTAGTTTTGCAACAGTAAGGTATGTGATAAGTCCAGAAAATGCGCGCCTCTCTCCCAACGAATCAAAAGCGAAGCTGATACCAACCGCGACAGAGCCGTCACCTTCCCGCGCTTTTACTTTGAGCTCTCATTGGCTCTCTGTGATATCTCCCTTTCACCTGATTGGGCCGTTATCATTATTTTAGCGTTGGTTTTACAGTGCTAGATCGAGCGGAGGGCTCTAATATTCTTTTCAAATAAGTTAATGTCAACGCCATCTACAGCAAGAGACAGACTGAAAAACAAAATGAGACATCTTATAGAGATTCAAAGTCGATGCTGCTTCATCTAATTGCACAGAAGCTTGAAACCTTTTATTTTTTCAAGGTTTTCGAATTTTGAACATTTCTTAATCGAAAAGGCTTTTAGATGAAACTCGTTTAAATGATAAACTAGGTAAGTATTTTCTTGATTTTAAATTTTTTTAAAAAACATGGAATCTGAATATGGAGTTGGAAGAATTGTTGTACAGCTTGTTTTGTATGGTTTGCGAGTAGGTTCCCCCCCCCACCCCCTTTATGGTTTACCTACCGTATACGTGGTTGCGTAGGGGTCGAATGGATAATTGATGGGCGCATGCGCAGGGTCTGGTACTGGAGCTAGAGCAGGAACTGGCGCGGGGACTGGTGCAGAATGAACTAAATAGGCTGAATAATAGGGATTGTAGGGATTGTAGTACTGTTGCCCAGGCTGACACGGACAAGGAGTATAGCAGGGACTTGGGCACCTATAATAAGCGTCTCTGTAAGCGAGATGCCAACCAATTCTTGTGTCTATGAATGGCGAACTGACCGGGGGAGGGTGGGGAGAAGGTGGTGCTTTACTTTTAGCTTCTCCACAGTTCAGTTTGTGGTTATCCACATTGGCGTCGTGAAGATCTGGCTCGGTTCCTCGATAAATATATACTTTGGAAAAATTTTAATAGATATCAATTAAGGTGCGTAGCTACTTTACATTCTCCTATACATGAGAGAATTTGGCGGTTGGATCAAGATAACAACTTCGATCTGATAAGCTGGAAAATTATCATAATGTATGGATATCGTAAGGAGAAGTTACAAATTAATCACTTCTGAGAGTTAGGCAACATCGATTTCACCCTCGGAGTGCTTACCTCCACTTGGAAACCGACTGTTGGGGAAACCCGAGACATTTTTATGCATGGCT